GTGTCCAAGATCACCACAAAACAATGCATTATCAGGCACAGGTAATTCGGTTTTCTGGTGATGATCTTCTGGATTTATGATTCTGATATAAGTTTCTTGACCTAAATACCATCTATCAAGATTCATTGTTCTAAGATTCCAAGCTCCCACATTATCAAGATACACATATATTGCAGTCCATCCTCCCGGAAAAACCTGTTCTACAAATCCACATATTATATATAATATAAATTACATTAATACAATATCTTTTTATAAACAAATTTCAGACCTGGATTGTAGAGCGTGAAATAGCATCCCATCGATTATAAGAACCCCTGCTGTTTTCTGTCCAATTCCCATAAGCCATTCTAGATATATTATAAATTTTGTCATTCACAACTTCACCAAATCTTTCAAAAAAAAAAAAAAACAATTAATTAAAAGATTATATACCCGACAACAAAAAACGAAAAACCATCCATATGAAAGCTCTGAACTACAGTGTCATTGTTCTCCAATATGATTTCAACAAACCCTTTATACGTAGCATTAATGATGGATCTTCCAACCCGTGGAGGTCCGTTTAAGGGTATTTTCGGAAAATCAAGTTTGTAAACACCCTTCACATGATGATCATCTGCAAGCCTCACAGGTGTATCAAGATTCCCAAACGAAATCCCGTTAAAAGAAGCACGAATTCTCCCATCAATCATCATCGGCTCAACGCTTCTTAACATATACGTATCCGTTACATTAATCGACCCGTAATGAAACGAACCCTGCGGGTTTGGTCGGGCCCCACTAGCCGTATTATTCATCCTATATAAAGTACACATGATTTTGATAATTAATTCTAATCATAACAGATCAACCTAATTAGTGGATTCATATATACATACCTGATGGAAAGTGCTTGATTTAACGCGAATGAAAACTCAGAATCTTCGTTTGGAGGAGTGGGTAGAGGGCCGGATGCTTGGCCTTTAGAATTTGAATAATGCAAAATAGCGACTCCTGTAACTCGTTGCCAATTTGATTGATTTACAAATCTGGCACTTGCAACGATGTAGTAATCAGTGGTTGCGTTTTGATCCATGGTGACCAGAAAAGAGTAAGATTGTCCCACATAAACATCGAAACTGCTATAGTTTTGTTGGCTTGTATAATGTCCCTCGGTTTCCGCTAGTACCAAATTATGGCTTTGGATTCGAAAATTCAAACAAGTCGAGACTCCAACATTGATTACACGAATTCGATAGGTTTTACCTTGATCGACATTAATTATGGTGTGGTTAATGCCATCGGGAACAGTGGAATTGTATTTAAAAGGTCCGTTTCCATTGATGAGGACTCCATCTGGGATACCAAGGTTTTTTCCAGCATCAAGAGTGGCTCTGAGTGCCTTTAAGAGCACAATCAAAAAGTAATTAGATGTATAAACATATGAGTGAGGATTTTAATGTGAAACGAAATACTAACTAACCGAGTGGTTTCGGGTGTACCAATCACCAATGGTGATGATGATATCTCCATCCGGGGTATTGAAAGGGAGTTGTATAATTTTGCGATTTGTGATAACAAAACCACCGAATCCACCGGCTGCTGTTTGGAAATGAGTACTTGGAGCATAATAGTAGCTACCGATTTGATCCTTGACTTGAAATCGGTATGTCCAGTTCCAATTTGGAGGAATGGGACAATTAGTGCCCAGAACTCCATCTTGCCAAGAAGATCGACGCATTTCTATTCCAGGCCTATCAAACGTAACGTAAGATCCCGTTTCCAATACTGAAAATTTTGAAAAAATATATATATTCATATATGTATTTCTATTAAATCGTACCATGTAATGAGGAGGCTTTCGTCTAATTTGTTCTTGACGTTGACGACGACATTGTAATTGGTGGTAACATTTAGGTTTGGACCTGGAAACTCCCCGTTCACTGCTATGACCTGTAATTGGAGTTCACAGATAGTAAATTTTAGTATAATAAACAAGTAAACAGTGAATATGATCAGGCTATTTTGGAGACTAATTGTTTATACAAAAATTTCACAAACACCATAAAATCCACATTGAGACGTTTCGTCGAACGCTCGATAAGCATATCATAAGGAAGAAAAACCTCCTGAAACACAAAACAGAGCAGAGCACGAGAAGGGGGGAGGGAAGAGACCCACCTGCTGGGGAACACCAAGTGGAGAAGCAGTGATGTAAGAGAACTCGAGTTCGTAATTCACAAATGGGTCGCCAGCAGAACAGAAGCCACCAAGTATCAAACCAATGTGGAACCAACTCAACAACTTTGAACAAAATGACGCCATTATCGAGTTGATTTGTGGTCTGGTAGAATTACAGACGTGATCATATAGAGATTAAAGAGGGAAAATCCCCTTTTCCTCAAAACTTTGGGCGTGTTTTGCGGTGTCATAGTGTTGAGTGTGTTGCCCCACCACTAAACACTCAGCATTCATTCTCGCATTTCACCGGCGTGATGTGTGGCTTTTCTAACTGAAAAGGCGCGAAATTCGTTAGTGAAATCAGCGATGCTTCTTTTTGTTTTGAGAAAATTACAAGATTAGTCCTCGTTTTAGTCTCAAAATGTACCTTTAGTCACTAATTTTAAAAATTAATTCAGCCTCTCTATATATTATTAAAAATTACACAAAATCAATATTTTTCTATTTAACAATTTATTTAATTATTTTTTAGTTGTTTATTATAGTAATTAAATTTTAAAGAAACAACAATTGTCCTTCCCCTTCCTCTTGTTCATCTATCATTTTATATTCTCACCCTAATCCTTTGGTACTGCCGAGATTTCAAGACACTTCTCTCTCTCTCTCTCTCTCTCAAGCATACACATACCCTTGATATGCAGAACCATCACATGAACTTTTACTACATGAACTTCTACTTCATAGCCATGAAACAATTATAACCACCATTTGAGGAATTCCACAAGAACTTATTCACTGGTCATGAAGTGTTGAAAGATAACAAAGATAAAATTTATAAAATCTGTGAACAAATGAAGGTGCTTCAAAAGACGATTCTTAAAGTCAGAAACCACTGTGAATGGAATATGTCGTGACAAAATAGTCGCGAGACGAAGTTGGAATGGTGTTGCGACATTCCTGTTGCCTAGTGCTTGTAACGCGACCAGGAGCTAGGTCGCAAAGCTTAACCGTTGATTTTTTGACCATTTTTACTTTTAGTCAAACTTTGATGGATCTGAGTATTAGACTAAAAAATAGACAATTCCAAAACCATATGTACGATTTAACATCAATTAAATAGTTAATGGTTATTTTATTTGTACTATATTTTTCGTGTTTTTGCATGCTTTAAATTTGTCATTTTTGTGAAAGTAAAAAAATGACGGTGTGTCGTGTCGTGGCAAACTTAATAGCGCAAAGTGTCTATGAGAGCTTAGGCCCAAACTCCCTATGATAACTTTTAAAAAACACCATGAGTTTGTACGCAATTTTCGATAAAATGGCTTCAACTGTTTAATTTGCAAATTTCAATATGATTATCTGTTTTTTTGGATATCAGAGTCTGTATGTGTTTGTGTTTGTGTGTCTATATATATACAAAAATCCTCAAGTTCGTATAGTTTTCTAGAAACTAATTTTATGTTTTTGTGCCCTAAAACTTAGAGTGGTCCTCACTGATTACCCGAAGTTGAATTTCTCTAATACCGGGTCACTTATATGGTGAAATATTAATACAAAAAGTAAATTTACATGATACATGTGCAATCTAGATTTTGATTACAAACTAGATTATAGTCCGCGTTAAATGCGGGAAACGTATAAAAAAACATATAATCGTTTATAGATATTGTATAATGATTATATAAAGAAAATACAAATTTAAATTTGTTGAAATTATGGATGAAATTACTGGCGAAAATTTATTTTGGAAGGAGTTGTATTTTGTAAAGTATAATAATATTACAAAATTTGAAATATCTATATTTGTTGTGTAAATTAATAAATTTTATTGTTACTATACGAAGATAAAAAAAAATAGGTTAATATGATATACAAAAACATAATAATTTCAATGATATTTTAAAATCATGCCAAAATTAACCGGATTCTTATGACATAAAAATTTAAAAAAAAAATCATAATCATCTCTAATATATAAAAGTAACATTTTCGTAATGGAAAATGATATTTCCACTTGATAAGTTGATTAATCCACTTGAAATGTATGTTTTACCAACTTGTACGATAGTTGTAAAAGTATTGTACCTCATGTGGATGAATCAAATTATTAAGTGGAAATATCACTTCCCTTTCGTAATTAATGTCAGTTCCCAAGATAGTTAATTTTTGTTTTGTTAAAGGTACCTAATACCTTTTAATGTTTATTTGAAAAGTTTCAGAAAAGTAGTTAACTGACTTCATGTAATTTGTGACAAAGAAAATCGAAATATATGAATACATACATTTGATATAGGAACAAAAAATGATCGAAAAAAATATAAAAAACGAAAGAAGGTATTGACCTTCTAACGCACAAGAGCGAATGTTGATAACAGAGAAAGATGATGAAAGTTATAAGCAATATTAACGATGTTGTAGGAGAAGGTTTGAAGAAAAGAAACGATTGAAAATGAATGTGAGTCGCGGATTCAATGATGAAATCGTATATGTATGTGATAATTTGAATATGATTTTTCGGTATTAATGATTTCCTAATAAAAAAGATTTTATATTACTGATTTACTAATATAAACGGATTTATATTAATGGTTGATATTAAAGCCTTGATTGAAATGATTTATCAGTAATATATTTTTAAAATTGATCATATTAAAATCTTCATAACTAAAAATTTAAGATGTAAAATATGGAAAGTTTTTATTGGAATTAAATACGTTTCATTTCAACGAATGTAAGTTATTGATTAATGATTGGAAAGCATTTATTGGAATTAAATGCATTCCATATGAGGAAGATGATGTCAGCAATTTGATCTAAGAGTGGAAAAAATAAGATTGAAATACAATCAATGATCCAGATTATTTAAGATGATATCATAAAGTTTTTCTTTTAGTAATATTTAAGATATTCTACTACATACATAATTTTCTGATGGATTTTTTATTTTAGTTAACAAGAATTGATAAAGAAATATCAAAATGATGATAAATTATATAAATGAAATTTACAAAAATTTATTGATAAATGTGGATTACATCTCATATATATATATATATATATATATATATATATATATATATATATATATATATATATATATATATATATATATATATATATATATATATATATATATATATACCCCCAGATTTAGAATAATAATGATGGAATAAGATATATTGACTATATATATAGTCGTATGCTCGATCGTCGTTTTAATGTTGGCGCCCAAGGGGGAAATAATCGATCTGGGCTGAGTTCATTTTCCATACATTTACGTTTGCCGTTACACTTATTCCTGTAGCATTATTGAAAAGGAAGACCTTTGCTGCGCTGTAAATTGCCATTGTTGGATATACCCTTGCGGTTATAACCGTCCTTCCACCTTGAGCAAAACTTTCCACTATGGAATGATCAACCTTAAAAACATTTTTATAAATCAATTTTTAGTTTATTTCAATATATAATCATAATCGTAGTCTCAAGCCACTTTATTTGATTTTGTTATTGTTATCCGGAATATATGAAATTCAAAATATCTTATAAATGCAGGATTATTTATTTATATACCATTTGGTAAATTTAATTTTTCAAACGAAGAAAAAGAGTGTTGCATACCAATAATCTCATGCTAAAATTTTCACCATGTAGAACAGGAACACTGCTCCCATAGATTATTTTTGTGACATCCGCAGCCGTTGATGATCTACACACATTTTCATTGTTAATTTAACAGCTCCATATAATCAATTTATAATATTTGAGATAATAAATTAAAACCTTACTTGGACTCATCGGCACAAAAATAAGTAGTAGCAACCCCATCAGCACCTTTAGCAATATAAAAATAGACAGGAGTTTGCTCAGTGAGTGATTCATCTGCAACAACTATCAATCCAAAAGGTCCAAAAACTCCTCTAGCGGCGGAACCACCACTTGTGGTGCAATTGTAACCCACATCCGCCTCCATTGCCGCCTCTACCGCTGTCTTATCGATATCAAACGTTGCTAATATGTCTAACTGTAATAAAATAATAATAATAATAACAGATTAAAAATTATATTCAATGATCAATATAATATGTTATGATATCGCTAGATGCACACCGAAGTAAATACCTGTGTAGCTAAGCCTACTTCAAGTGGCACAAGAGATCCCGGTTTAAGCAAAACTTTTCGAAATTTCGTATTTTTGGCTCTCAACTTCTCAACCTCTTTAACTGGCCATTGAAGTATATTCGTCCCGGTCTTTTTGTCAAACACCACTTCTCTTGGAATGGTCTATCATTCATATTTCATAAAACCCTTTAATTAATAACAACAATAATAATAAGAGTTATCTTTAATATTATACTTTGGACCCTTCTAACATTTTCACATTTACTTTTCACACCCTAGCCTCTTTACTATTTATATTTACTTGCTAAGGAAAAATCTTGTAATTATTGGTTTTACCTGAACGGAGGCCCATCCCTTCAAAATATCGGCAGCTTCACTATCGGTTTCACCAGTCCAACCCCATAGAATTCTTCTTTGAGTACTTTGGTCATAAAAAGTCTTTGATGCATAATATTTTCCATAATCAAGTCGTAGCCCTATACCCACATCTAAATCATAATTATCAGGTGTCCATTTGTCACTAATCGAGTCATACGTCCCAAGTGCATAATAATCATGTTTATTATCATCTAAACTTGATTTCAACACATGCTTAATACCCTTTCCGTTGAACGATGTATCCAACCCGTTTGACTCTGTTGTTGACACCGGATAAAAGTCAACACACTCCCACATACCCGTACCCGGAACTGCATGCATCACATCATCCAACAACTCAAAGCTCGTGAAATCTGTTGTTTCATAAACAAGTGTAATACCCGTCTTGTTAACCTTCGATCCTAACCCGACCCGCCATTTTCCATTTGGGTTGAACCAAGCGGTAGTTGGATCCCTAAAATCCTTAGCGCCAATGCCGGGTGGTGGTAGCAAAACTGGATTACCCGGGTACTTGACCCAATCTAGGAGGAGGGGATCGGATAGGTTGGCGGGGTATGCTAAGTTTTGCACCTGCACTTCCTGATCGGTGTCCCCAGTGTACAACATAACGATCTTACCATCATTAAGGAGTGTAGCAGATCCTGTCCAGACACCATTGATATCGTACCAGTGATCAGGAACCATAGCAAACGGGAGATGTTGCCAATTGATCAGATCCTTTGATATTGCATGTCCCCATGTGATGTTTCCCCATACTGCTGCATCCGGGTTGTATTGATAGAACAAATGGTACCATCCCATGTGATACAATGGACCTGCGATACACGGTATAATTAATCGATATGTTACATAGGACGCAAGTAAATAAAATTGTGTATCTATCTAGTCTTTGCAATTTGATAATTAAAATATAAATAAACGTGTGACGGTGGAAAGCTAGTTAACGTGTACGGCAGTTAACTATTAAAACGCCTACAAAAGAATAGAAAACACGTAATTCACGAGATCCCAAATTTTGGGCATGCCACGTGTGATGAGATGATAGGATGTTAAACGCACATCAGTAACACATGAAACATGATTCACGATGTAAGAGTTCATCCAACTATCCACGTCAGCTAGATTTAAATCCATGTGGTGGGTTTCATTTATTGTACCACTTATTAAACATGTATATACATAGCACGAAATATGATTGGCGTCTTTTCATACACCTTTTTGCTAAAATAGAATGCTTCAAATAAATAAAATAAAATAAAATACTTATACAGTACGAGTTATCCCCCAAAATAAAGAGATTTTGTATGCTAAATGCAATTTTTTTTTTTTTTTTTTTTTTTGATACGTGTAACGTTGCATTATAGCATCGACTGATATAACATTTTTAATATTCTTTATTCTAATGTTAAATATTATTTCAAAGTATATATTTCAAATATTTATTTGACAATCAAATACTTGCTTTTAAAGTACAAATCCAAATCAATGTTTATTGACCTTAGTATGGTTTTATGTACAGTAAATATATATAAACTATTTTTATATATTTGATATCACAATAATATATAGCATTTTATGTACAGAAATATATATTTTAACTATTTTTATATAGCTGATATCATAAAAACATATCAGCTTAATCCTTCGCTTAAAAAGTTTAGATGGACCGAAGGTACGAACCTTGCTTTTCTCTTCATACAATTTCTAAATTTGTTTTCTCTTATTACCAAACCAAGAAAAAAAATGAAATACGGCATTTACTAAAGTTAGCAATTTTGATACGTAATTTTTTATGTTAATGGAAAGTTATCTATATATCTTCCAAGATAAAACACACGTGGTCTATAAATGATTATTTTAGGTATGTAAGTTACCATAATAAGATATTACGGTTTTTAGAAATAACAAAATACATATTGGTTTTTCTTCATTGAGGTAAAGAAGATTACTTAGGTTTCTTATATAGGTCTCACATGTAATCCTCAACCATATATCTATAGCGACATTTATCTTATCGTTTTTAAGACCAGGTTAAGTCTCATATAAATAACTTCCCTCTAATTATATTTCATAATTTTAAAATTTGTTTTGGTTAATAGATTTCAAACGAATTGGTCAGTCGATTTCCAATATATATTATTTGAATTTTCTTTCCAATGAATTTATATTTTTTATACCCATATATATTTTGTAAAATCAAGGATATGTATTACAAGAATATTAAAGATATGTATTTTGAAAAGAAAACAAAATAAACGGTTAATGTTTGTAACTTGGATAAGCAAGGTTGATTGCTATTAATCTTACGTTTCCATAAATATTGGCAACTAAAACGTTGACCTTGTAATTAAAAATTGGCAACTAATTTAATGTCTTAATTTTTCTCTACTGATCAATCATATCCTAAATCCGTTGAAGATTCTCTGTTCTTAAACAATAGAATTTATTATCAACTGGAGAAAAGAAACTCATAAATATATACAAACAACAATCTCCTAAAGATCGATTAAATAATTATTAAAAAATGAGAATGAGAAAGAGGGAGAGCATACCGTTGGGATCTACAGAAGATATATATCAACCAGCAAGAATTCAACGACCCGAAAGCATCAATGTAGTTCAAGAAATTAATATTTGGATCAGTGAAAATAGAAAAATTATAATAACAATGAAATGAAATGAATAATGAATTAACTACGTTGAGTTATGTATTACAAAGAGTTACCATTCATCCAGTTTTTCGGAGGTTGAAAATGGAAGCCTGTTCTTTGCCAAGACAACATGGCATTGGTCCAAGGGTATATGTCGTCAGCGCCGGGAGATGACAGCTGGAAATTACTCTTCTCCGACACCCCTTGAGACACTCCTCTTGAAATGGGTTTAAAAGCCTCTTTCGCCGGAGCTCTGTCGCCTGTTTCATCGTCGACGGTATGAGGTTGACTATGTCGGTTGAGGATGAGAGCTATTAAAGACGAAAATATTAACATGGAGAGAAAGATCGAGGACAAGAGGGTGAAGGGTCGTCGTCGTTGAGATATCGACGGTGGGTGGTGGTGGTGGTCGGAATCCGGCAAAAGAGAATACGAGGTGGATGTGGCATGTTCGAGATCAGCAGCCATTGTTTTGTGGTAGTTGAGAGAAAATTGGAGGAATGTTGGTGAAGGAGGGAGATGAGTTTAGAGTTCTTATACAAGAGACGGATAATTTCTAGAATTTTGATGAAATGTGGGCCCGGGTATGGGTTACCGTGGGTCAAGCCCAGCTCTTTTGACATTCAAATAATTTGATCGGGTTGTAAAAATATTTATTAAAATCAAGGTTTAAGAAAACGAACTTTATTCAAGTTTAATAAAAATGATTGATTTGCAACCCAAATTCTTATATATCAAACACTTACATATTACATGCATCTTGAAAAGTTATTTACTTATATATATTTCAAACTTGATAAAATTTGACTTGGACTAGTTTGAGTTCGAATAACTTTGATAAACTTTCAACTCTTATGTTCTAAGTTTTGTATGAATCTTTTATATTAGTTCAAGTTAAATAAATTAGATGCAGTAACAGAGCTAGAAATTTTATGGAAGAGAAGCTAAATTTAAAATATATTTTTGTTCAATTTTTGCTGCACCACATTTTTTTTAATGTATTTAATATTTATACTAAAATCCTTAAGAAACTTTGCGGAATGCGACCATAGATGTTAACCCCTTTCGTGACTCCATCATTAATGGTTACATGCCAAAACGTACGTACGTGTATAATACATTTTAATGAAATTATTTTATTCAAGATCGACTACTTTCAACCTTATTATGAAAGGGATCATAAAAAAATAATACATGTTTATTTCACAAGTTTAGATAAAAATTTAAAAAAACTAAACTTTATTTACATGAAAACATAAATTAGTTTGGAATTAAATTGAATTTTAAGCATTTTAAGGTGGAAATTCTATTAACAACAACGAGCTAGATAATATAAAAACGTTACAATGAAGAAATAACCATGATATGATTTCTAAACATCCAACCCGGTTTATGTTCAACTTTGCACATCTATTAAACAATCAATAGTAAGATTGCGACACAATCTAGTTGGTGATTTTATATCATTAAGATTATTTATGTGTAATGGGGTTAATTTTTTGATCAATATCATTTTGACAATCACTGAACAAAGTAATATGGTGTGGAATGCACATTTGTTTAAATTTGTCATTATTGAAAGTATACTGCTATTTAGGGGCGATACCCTAAATCGACGAGGATTCGGGGGCAGCGCCCGTGGGAGCGGGATCCAAGGGGCGGCAGGCTTGGCGGGGTCCAAGGGAAATGCCTTAGAAATCCTTATTATCTGTAAATACACCCGGTTTTGTGATCCTTTTTCAGACCCGATTTTTAAGTTAGTTTATGACCGTTTTGGAGAGTTTTTGTACAGAAAACTGGCATTTGGCAGTTTTAAGATGGGATGTTTTTCCTGTTATATGATCAATTTCAAAATCATTTTCGGTACAAATCTTCATAACATCTTCTCATTATCCATTCTAGAAAATAGAGAGTTTTATCCGATTAGAGATTTTCGAGTGTATCCTCGAAATGCTTTAATTTAAAAGTGTTTCATAACTCTTATTGATCCAAACAATTCTACACACCGATTTTCTAACAGTCTTATCAAACATGACATATTGTCTTAGTATTTGCATTCAAATAGTCACACTTTGCCACATTAAGGCATTGGTGATCAACTCAAGTTTATACATTTTTTAACTGTGCAAAAGAAAAAAGAATATTAGTATTCAACCAACCATGAATTTGTCTCCAAATGAAAGAAGCTATGAACTCATAATAAACATAAGCTCATTTATCTAGATATGTATGTCACAAATAGGAGAAAAAAAAAAGAAACTTTACAACTATGACACTCTTATTCAAATTGTGTCTTATAGGCACTCAATCCAATGACCGTCTCCACCAACATATTGACTTTAAGAGTATGTGGTATGGGTCATGTTATAAGGCATTATGGTTGAGGTTTCAAACTATAACAGCATCATAAGAGCATACCCCCCCCCCCCCCCAATTGGTGTTTATAGTGCATCTCATGACCATTATAACATTTTGGAACGTGAGGATAAACCAATCAAATTCATTCAGCCTTCTTTTTCTTATTATTCTCTTTCTCTCTCTATTTCACAAGGACCTGCAATGGCTTCCAAGTTGTTAAGCAACCAATTGAGAACTCTTATAACTCATATGAAAAAGCCAACTTTAACTGGAATGGACACAGAAATAGGAATATGTCAACACGATAGGTTATAAACCTCAAATCATGTGCTAGTGATAAACTACAAGTTTTATTCTTGACTAAACTATTTCAAGATCTTTTAGACTCCCACTGTTCTCTTGACATATAAGGCTCTCTTGCCAAGACCCATTCTTTGACAAACAAATATTCAATTGATAGTGTGGATTCTGATCAAGACAAACACTTCACACAATTGGCCTAAGTTGGTCTCTGTTTTATCCAAAACATCGTAACTTACCAATTTCAAATGTACAAGAGTATGACACATTTTACTCTTATATTTGACAAGTGTTAATAAACATTCTTTAAGATGTGTCACTCAAATTACAATCTTGGAGTATGACTCTAGGACTTGTTTTGGAACGAAGCATGACTCATCTTCTTGATTTAACCATTTCAACAATTCACGATTCCTCTTCTTCGCCATAGGAATTCACTAAGATGTCCTTAGAGGACCAATTGTGATATAGTTTCTTAATAATTAAGATGATCACAAAACATTATACTAAAGTACTCTCCCATCTTTTCAGACTTGAGAAACTTTTATCTTTCTGCCTAATTTGATTCTTCCCATTCGTTCTGCCATACATCGAAACTTTTCCAATGTTTAAGAATTATACTTAAACTTGTAAGTATAACCATATTTACTAAGCTTTAGTAAATCATGACGAATAGTCTTATTGAGCTTTTGTGGTGGACTTGACCAGTACACAAGAATGTGTACTCGATCCCTTTAGTCCTTCACTTAACTCACATATACATGTGAACAAGGAATTAGACTTAATTTTCGAAAGATAAAAATTATCATTCATCATACTATACAACTTGCATGATTCCAAGTTTCGGTCCAATTGAGAACTTGGGTGATGAGAATCTTTTCTTAGTTGGTAAATTTAGACACTACCACAAATGAAAAAATCAAATTCACATTTTCATTATTGCTAGAAACATACAAATATCAATTTTCAATAAAGGCCATTGCAAGGAGATATAAACTAAAATAAAATCAAAACTGTATTCATTTATAAAATGCAGAAAAACTTTTTCCTAACAATGTAGCTTAAATGAAAACTATGCTATTACATATTTTCTAGCACTCTATCACAATTCCTTAAGTAGTAGCTCAAGAATCCGATCTTTGAACCATGCGATTGAAATCCATCTTCGCGATCAGATTCAACATACACTTCGTTTAAGTTTCCTTCCATTTGCTTGATCCTGCCATACATCAAAATGTATTAAGAATCTCCAAATCATAACTTAATTGATTTAGATAGTGGACTTACCTGAAGCAGAATCAAACTTTTTGACTAGACCTTCTCTTAGATCTTTCAGGTAGTTAGGGCAACTTCACAACCAATGCCCCTTCATTTGGCAATAGAACCATATGGACCCTTTGGGAATGGTACACGGGACTATCTCAGCCTTGCCTTTTCTTTACCATTTGGTCAACCGAGTTGACAATGGTCGATCCCTTTTCGTTGGGAAGAGAAAGCTTTTTTGGATATCCAATGTTACCAATTGTCAATATCCATGGTAGTTTGGATATCCAATGTTACCAATTGTCAATTTTGCTTTAACAGAACTCCAAATCATTGTTAATTTAGCAGCACCAAGCAAATAGATAAGATCATTAAGGGTCATGTCATAGTCTGTTACATAGTAGTCCCAAAGAAACTCACTATGTGACTTAGAAAGTGATTGAACAACCAACTTTCTCAAGACTTTGACACCCAACTCTCCTGGCTTGTCAATATGTGACTTCATCTCCAAGATGTGAGCACAGATAGACATTGCTTGCCAATAGAGCTTGAGTGACCTTGAACTTGTGGGTTAGAGGGGATAATTGGAGGAAGTGGAGGAAGTGAAGAATGATTTCCTGGACATCATATTCATTAGGAAAGCTTGTTCCAAGAGTTTTGGGAAGATCATAATTATCTGAATTAGACATCTTTTGGGAGATATTCAAGATAGTTGATTTAAAGTCTTTAATATAACAACCAATATGAAATAGTAAGGCTAGGACCCAACACAATATTTTATAACTTGGAAGAGGGATGTCGTAATCCAAGCTATAGAATATTTGAAGGTAGGCGAATGACGATTCACCAATTTCCATCATGAAAAACAAAATAATTTATTAGGTTTTAATTGGATTTGAAACTCCTAGATCTTTTGAGATTCATTGAACTTTTCAATGGCATGTTTCAATCTCAATTGTGCCCTCTCAAGTTTTATGACTGAGATGCCGAGGATTACAAAACAAGGTGTGAATAACCATGCAAATATACTTGATACCCTTAATATTTACCACTCAATCGATGTTCCGGTTAACCACACGTGCTCCACTGATACTATGATAAACATTAAGTTACCCTTTGCCTACCTTGTTAAATCAAGCTAGTGTGCCGGTTAATCACACGCGCTCCACTAACCGACTTAAGCAAAGTGCAAAGTGTAATTTCATGGATTAACAACAAATTCACATTCTCCTGAGTAACTAAGATTGGAAATTCATAATAGCTTAGTTGCTTAGTATTTATCATTAATACTTTTAATGAAGGGAGAATTCTATTGCTTGTCCTACCCGTTCAGCTAACAACCCTCCACCAGTCAACGAAGCAGTGGGTGAGAGTGGACACCCATTAAACTGCCATTTTATAGGCAGTAACCTTATACCTCCCTTACAAACCGGCTTCGTGAATGAGGCCTACTAACGGCAAGACTGACTTTGTTCTTATATATATATATATATATATATATATATATATATATATATATATATATATAACTATTAACTATTAATATT